GTATTACTATACCATTTCAATTACTATTGTTTTGAAATTGTTCTTTTCAGACAAGTTACTACTTTTTTTCAGCCTTTTTTTGGCCTACATTTTCCATTAATTTTTGCAAAACAATTTAATCAATTTGATATTATTTGGAATACCCAATTCCATAGAAAGACATGGTCACCAAAGAATATGATGGGAGGAATCAGTACTGAAATTGAGTTGGGATATTGGTAATCATTAAAAGATCACACATAGATTAGTAATACCTAATACTTCATAGAAACTTGTTATGTGCCAGGTACTGTTTTGAGTGTTTCATATTATATCACTTCATTCAATTCTTTAGAAGTATGGAAACTATGGATGAGTTTTCATTACTTGCTGCAGGTCACAAAGCTGGCACACCCTTAACTAGACAGTCACTGTTGGATGCTGTGCTCTATCACTGTACTTCACTACCCTTAGGGTTGTTTAAGTGTGCAGAGTGTAAACATCTTGTGCCATCCTGCTCTGCCCAACCCAGGATCTGAATCATTCCTTTGTCCAGTGTATCCACACTGTATATGCTACTTCCATATCAGTTACTTACTAGCCATTCTGCCCACTGCCTTGAGGTATTGCAGTTCTTGCATGGAAATAACCCTTTTTTTTTTTTTAAAATAAAAAAAAAAACAATAGCCCCAAAGTGCAGGAGTAATGATACTGGAGATTTAAATATACTAAAGAGAAGTCATAATGTGCTTTACCCTCTGAAAAAGTGAAAATTCTGCAATTAATAAGGAAAAAAAATCTGATGCAGAGGTTGCCAAGATCTACATACAGAAAGAACAAGTCTTCAATCCATGAAATTGTGAAGGAGAAATCTGTGCTAGTTTTTCTGCTGCACTTTAAACTGCAAAATCTATGACTATGCCAGGTGCAGTAGCACACGCTTGTAATCCTGGCTGCTTGGGAGGCTGAAGCAGGAAGATCTTGAGTTCAAAGCAAGTCTCAGCAAAAACAAGATGCTAAGCAACTCAATGAGACCCTGTCTCTAAATAAAATACAAAATAGGGCAGGGTATGTGGCTCAGTGGCTGAGTGTCCCTGAGTTCAATCCCTGGTATTCCCCACCACCACCACCACCACCAAAAAAAAAAAAAAAAATCTATGACTATAATGCTCGCTAAGTTCTTAGTTAAGATAGAAAAGGAATTAAATTATGGGGTTTGGTATTATCTGTGGTTTCAGGCATACACTGGGGGCCTTGAAATGTGTCATTGGCTACATATAAATACATATTGAATATATTGTTCTTATGAGAGAGTTTCAGGCAGGATTGAGAGACATTAGTTTATAACTTATGTCTTCATGACTCTTTCTCTTATCAAATTGGTTTCTTTAGCTTTAGGGTTTCTTTTTCATACAAATTTAAAATCATAGCAATATATTAAAAGATATTAATTTGTGAGTTGTTAACAATTAGTTAAAATATACCATTTTCCATGCATCTTCAGGAAATTATAATCTACTATCTTCATCAGTTATTAGAGAATTTTTTAAAAAAATGTTATTAGGTAAAAAAGGCAATAAAACTGTTTTAGTCAGTTTTGTGTTACTGTGATCAAAAGACCTGATGAGAACAACTTAGAGGAGGAAAAGTTTATTTTGGCTCACGGTTTTAGAGGTTCAGTCTACAGTGGGCAACTCCATTGCGCTGGGCTGAAGGTGAATCAGAACATCATGGTGGAAGGACATGTCAGGGTAAAGCAGCTCAGGACATGGCAACCACGAAGCAGAGAGAGTTCCACTCACCAGGGACAAAATATAAACTTCATATGCACACCCTCAGTGACCTTTTTCCTCCAGCCACACCCTGCCAGCCACCATTTACCACCTGGTTAATCCATTCAAGTGGATTAATCCACCAATTAGGTTATAGCTCTCACAATCCAATCATTTCACCTTTGAACATTCTTTTATTATCTTACACATGAACTTATGGGGGACACATCAAACCCAAATCATAAGTAAACACTAACCAAACTTATATTAACTCTTAAATTTCATGGAACGTGCTTATTTTTACTTGCTGGGAGTAAGAAAAAGATATGAGCAAGTTTTATGACTACTAAGGATGTGTAAGACCTATTTACCTTGTTTTCTTAATATGGCCAATTCCCTATTCTCTCCACTACTGTGGTGTTAAAGGAAAGGAACAGATTAAATATCCTTTTAAGAAGGCTGAAAACTAAATGTGGAGGTAATCTCCACTAGATAGGAAGAGGAAGTAAATGAGAGCATTTCTGGGTTTTAGTGGATTTGTAACCCTGGAATCATGCAAGAGTTTAAGCCCCAAAAGTCTTATGTTCATAGTATTAGGAGGGTGGAAATTTAATTTGACTGTGGTGTTTGGAGTTGGGGCCTTTGGGAAGTGATTAGGTTAGATCTATTGGGGTGGAACCTCCATGTTGAATCCTGGTGACTTTATAAGGGGAGGGAAATAGATCACATAGACACAGAGATATGCATGCACTCCTGCCATGAAGTGATGTAGCCATGGGGTGCCCTCCCCCAAATCTGCATCATGCTCTTTGGACTTCCTGCCTCTAGAATAATGAGATAAATAAACTCTTCTCTGTATAAAGTAGTCTGCCTCAGTATTTCATTATAGCAATGAAAAACTGACTAATAACCTAAGGGAATAGGGGAAAGGGAAAGGGAGGATAAGGTTGGGAGGTCAGGTCTAGGTCTAGGTCCTTGATACCTTTTCTCTGTTTTGGGTTTTGTCTTAGAGGAGAGAGGCTACAGGAACATCTAGACAGATTGGGGAAACAGAAACAAACTATAAAGAGAGAACTTGTAAGACAAAGAGGCTTGCCCAACTTGGCCATGTAGTGCCAGGGGCCACCCTGCGCATGAGCTAAGCACGCCCCCTCAGCCTTGTTGGGGGTATTGAACTAGCATCACACGACACACCACTATGTGAAGCAAGTGGGCCTTACCTTTGCTTGGCAAGGAAGTGCTTCAGCTATGGGCTTGAGCGTTACCCCCTTCTGAAATTTTATCCTCTGCCTTATTTGGGTGGAATATTCTATTGAATGTCTTTTCCCTAATTAAATAGAGGGGTTCTGGGTGTTCTCGCTCTCTTGTGCTCTTGCATTCCAGTGTGGAAGAAGACCCCTGAGGTTTCAGAGCCATCCCGACCCCCACTCAGTGAATAAAGTACTTCCGTGTCAGTGTGGTCTTTTCAGCGTCCGCCTAAACCACACAGAGTGATCCTGATTCCATTGCCCATGGAGGGTGTGGATGATAATGTAGTAGTGACCAGGTCATAGCACACCCTTGGTGAAAGGAGGCTGTGGGGTCTGATGGGCCTAAGAAGGGCCACAGTGCCCTCATGTACTTTTTTTCTTGCTCAGGAGAACCTTTGAGTGTTGTGATTTTTTTTTTTTTGTTTGTTTGTTTGTTTGTTTTCATGTTGACTGAGATATAATTCACATGTCATATATTCACCTCTGAAAGTATCTGTTTCAATGCTTATACAAACCATTGCCAATAGCTAATTGTATTAAGTTTTGGCCCCTTTTCTCCCACATATATGGTTATGCAGTGTTTGTTAGCACAGCTACGGCAGGGTGAGTGGGGCAGTAAGAAGTTGAAAGGTCCTCACTGATGTTTCTATTTAATTGGGTGCTTTTGTTGTTCATTCACATTTAGTACTCCCAATTCCATGTTTATCTAAAAATCTGGTTCTTTAAATAAATATAGGATTTAGGTAGCCTTAGTTGTGTGTGAGGTATTATATCAGATTCATGGCTCCCTAAACACCAGGGTTGGTGGAAGTAACTAGCACATATATTTGAGAATATGTGCATGAATGTGTCTTTAGCATGTTCCTATAAATTGTGAGGTAGTGTGATCTGAGAACATCTTTAATTATTATAGTTCTCTTGATTCTAACTGGAAGTCTTGATTCAATATCAAGCCCTTCTTTCTTATCTGTGAGTCAAATTGATAGGCGAAAGATGAATGCACACTTTAGAGGCAGAAAAAATAGGAGGTCAGTTCCATAAAATTGGATTTTTCTTTTTGCAAATCACTCTTTAATCATTCCTATAAGGAAATGCTGAGGATCAGAATGTTCATTAATATTAGGACCATGATAAAACAAAAAATGGCTGATGAGTTTCATTAGGTAGTGAATGGAGGAGAAGAAAACTGGGAGGAGAGAGGACAAATAGAGGAAGAAGAAAAATCTCTCCCAGTTGGGTGTAAGGAGAGAGGGATATGCAGAAACTGGGATGGACAGAGAGTACTGTTACCAATGTGTCCTGTCTGCTGAGATTATAGTCCAGATGATGTACTTTTGTTTTTAAAGAGAGAGAGAGAGGAGAGGGAGAGGGGGGGGGGGGGAGAGAGAGAGAATTTTTTAATATTTATTTTTTAGTTTTCGGCGGACACAACATCTTTGTTTGTATGTGGTGCTGAGGATCGAACCCGGGCCGCATGCATGCCAGGGGAGCGCGCTACCGCTTGAGCCACATCCCCAGCCCCAGATGATGTACTTTTAAGTCATGTTTTCTTTTAATAAGAAACAGTTTATCAAAGAGGGAGACTAACAATGTAAGGGAGATTGAAAAGTTATTATTCAAAAACAATTGCACCATCATTTAAAAACAATTAGCTCTTCTAGAACATGCTCCAGGAACCAGATTTGACCAAGTTAGTGACTTGATGTTTTGCAGCACAAGCTTGTGGCTCTTTTAGAAGCAGGTTTGTTAAAATAGGTCCCCAGTGCTGGGAGGCAGACCCCCAACACAGCTGAACTGTGGACCTGTCACATCCAACTAAGGTTCAGGAATGAGTGAGCCTGTGGGTGGTGCAGGCTCATGAGGGAAGACAGTGGAGAGCATGTGCTTTTAAGAACTTCGGATTTTCCAGTTACAGTTTACTGAAGAAATATTGTCTCAACAAAGGTGAATTATAACCCAAATAAATAAAAACTAAGAAATTCTACAGAGACATTTTGTGCTTTCATAAAAATCATTTATTGGCACAGGAAATGATTTTTTTTCTAGTACAGTAGCCATATGCATCTATCATTGCAATTCAGTGTAAACTATGTGTTATGAGCCACTAGAAATCTAATTAGCAGGATGAATTTAATAAAGAATGAGAACAACTATGAGTCTACAGCGGCCCAGCCATCGAGTCTCATTGGAGCACAAATCAAATATCAAACCAGTGTTGTCCTGCAACAGTGTTTGTGTAGCCATGGAAAACCAAGACGGATAGATAGGATAGCACCCGTTCAATAAATTAGCTTCCAATTAGAAAAACATTATAACTGATAGAAATAATCTAAGTAAAAGAAGCACAAAAGTAAATAATAGTAAAGTAGCTATTTACATATATCACCTTTTGCCAAGACTTTATTAGCTTTCCCTTCTTACCTTTTCCCCTTCTGTTTGTTATTCTTGTTTTTTAATTTTTTCATGGTGATATTCTTGGCTCGCTGGAAAATATCTAGACAACCAACTAGACCTTTTTCCTCCAGGTCCTACACTTTCTAAAACTTCATGTCAAACTAAAGAATCTGAAGGGTAAGCATCTCCCTCTATAGAAGTAATAAGCCTTATTATTCTGCCGTCAGTCTTAGTAACAACTAGTAACAAAAATCTTATCCAAACATTATTTGAACTACCCCAGAAAGTCGGGCTGTGGATGGCAGCAGAGTGGATGGAGTTTTCGTTTGTAATAGGCACAGGTAGCACACAGGTAGATGTTTATCCTGAGAGTGTGAATGCTGTGGACCGCAACTTAAGTTCCCCCATTACCGAGCATGGGCCTTCTGCCCTCTGCTCACCTTTTATTTCTTAACTGTTTTTTAAGGCTTGGTATCTAAGAATGATGATGTCATTTCTACCAAAGAAGGGCTCTGTGATGAGTAGCAGCAGGACATAATTAAAAGAGGGCAGTTGAAAAGGCATTGAGTTGGTACATTTCTGGTGTGATGGCCAGAATGTGTGGGTTTTTAGCATCAACTAGGGAGCCTGAAAGACCTTCCTGATAAGGCTCTTTGACCTTTGTCTACTTCCTTTCTGGTACTTAAAACAATTTGTAATTACTTAATTTTTGCCTTGTTCTCCAACTAGAATATAAGCTCCAATGGAGCAGAGGCTATGCCTGTCTGTTCATCCCATGTTTCCACAGTGTCTAGAACCTAGGGTTCTAGTGTCTGGAACAGTGCCTGGTCCATAGTAGTTTCTCAATTAAAAACTTGCATTAAATAAATGAACCAAATCATGAAATCCCCTGGTCTGCCCCTGTCTAGAGACTTTCCAGGTTCATATAGTGGCCAGGGTTGCTGGCCTGTCCTACTGATTGGGCTATCCTAATGATCCTACCCTGCTGTGAACCTGTGTAGTTGATATTTTTGTGCTTCAATGGGTAGTAAAACTTCTCCATGATAGACTCACTCTGCCCACCTCTCAAAGGTTAGCTATGCAGACCTAGCACTGCATGAGAGGTATGAGGGCAAGAACGTTCTAGGAGGTAAACTGCAAAGTTCTAAATTCAGCTCATTCTTCTCTACCTCCTTCTACAACCTCATTGTTTGACTGAAAGCTTAAGAAAAAGGTTATTAGGAGAATTTTTTTCTCGGCAGTACCAGTTCTGTAAGTCACCGATATCAAGTTCAGAAAAGAAATGGAGTGAACTCACCTATATAAAAAAACTAAGTTAAATAAAAGCAAAACCTGGGAGCGGAAAGGAAGTGAGGTGGTGGGCTGTCTAGGTCCTTTGTTGGTTAGATTGCTAGACGTGGAAGCGCACACAGGCATGGCGAGGGTGGAGAGGCTGGAGGGAAAGGGGCAGAGCTCTAGAGGACCAGCTGTTCTTTCCTCCTTCTCCCTCTTCTGCCAACTCTGAACTTGGCCGCAGCTGGCGGAGCTCCTTGCTGATTTGCTCTCTCTCTCTCTCAGGCAGAGGAAACAGGCAGCTGGTGCCTCCACAGCACATCCTTAGGCTATGGATGCTCTGCTGGAGTAGAAGTCAGGAACCGGGAGCCCAGTGTGAAGTGTGACCTGGTGGGGACGAGACTGTGAGTTCTGCAATACACATCGGTTAACCCCTTCCCCCCCAACACAGTGCACAGTGGGTGTGCTATTAATTTAAAAAGGGGTCTATCTGTTTCTCTCCAATCAATTCCAGTAGACAGTAAGGAGGATTCTAGCAGAATTCTAGCTGTGGCAACAGCCTGGCTATCATGGGGGCTCTCAAATTCTGACGATATTTAATAATCTGGTTCTCAGCCATCTGCTTCTTTTATTCTGAGAGACTGTGTACCTTATGATCAAAGACACAGGCAGGCACTGATTTGCAGGTAGTAAACCCACTGGCTTCACCTCAGTGAGCACTGTTGAATCCATGGATAGAGGACAGATCAGCAGAGACGACTCCTCCCTTACTGCTAGCCTACTAGTTATTCCAGGTGGGGATAAACCTCTCAGAGATTGCATGGACAATTGTTTGCCAGTTATGAAGAAACATGGCCTTAGTTTCTGTTCAGCCTCAAACCTCCATGGGCAAGACTGGAACTATTTCATGCAGTACTATCATTTTCCTCCTTTTTGTCCTTGGCTTCCCCACCCAAGAGTCTTTAATCTAAAGATACTCAGAACATCCTGGAAACCCCTATAGAGCATGTAGTATGATCTTCTTTGGAAGGAAAATGGCTGAAAATTTGAAAACGTTGAGTGTCTTTTTTTTTTTCTTCTGAGATTTACTTATAGGGAAATTTGTAGTTTTCTTTCTTCCTATGTAGAAGATAAATTCTGAAAGATTAGATTCTAGCCTCCCAATCAGTTTTACTGCTCATATTGATAGACAACACTGATTTTTAAAAATATCTTAAGATAGGATTCTCAAGTCCTATCTTAAGGAGCTATTTGCTGACAGAGGTTCACGGTTGTTAATGAGAGGCCCAGCTCAGGAGGACCGTGAGATCACAAGTCCCAACGGTGGCTGGCAGTGCACAGCCTCCACCCCTGCATGGCTCTGATCCTCCTCTCCTGCTGCCTGCTGCCCCAACCCACTAGGCTCTTTGTGCTTCTCTGTCCATCTGGGCTCTTCATGCCATGGAAATTTTGCAAAGGCTGTTTCTTCTCCATGGAACTCTCCACATAGCTCACTCCACCCCTGTAAGGGTCACTTCACCTGTTATTGCAATAGGGCCAGCCTACACTGGCCATCCTCATTAAGACTGTAAACCCCCCTGCTCCCCTCCCCACCAATCCCAGTACTCTGGATCCCCTGATCCACCCTTTTCTCCATCACACTTTTTACTTTCTAACCACCATGTAATTAATGTCATTGTGCTTATTGTTTACTGTTTGTTTTCTATAACTGGAACAGAAGCTCTAGGAGGTTAAGGTTATTATCTGCTCTTTTCCCCCACTGATGTATACCAAATATGTATAATAGTGCCTGGTATGTTAAAAGCACTCCATATATTTTTACTGAATGACTGAATGAGAAGAACCTGTTGTTTTATGTCTACAATAAACCTTAAGTAACTGAGTTCCAGGCAGCCTCAATGTTTCTATTCCTACAGCACCTAGCAAGCTGGAGTGCAGAGAGAGTACTCGTGTTTTCTGCTCAGCGTAGGAGTACTTCAATCATACATCTTCACTTCTTCTCGGAGCTCTGTGTAAGTCATCTCATCTGGTTTTCTGTTAGTTGTGAAAGGCTTTCACTTCTACTTAGAGATGAAACTAGAACAAACCATGTGTAGAACAAAACAGATTTCAGTTTCCCACACATTGTTAACTAAACTGAAAATATAAGGAAGGATTATGCTGGTATGAAATTCCACCACTAGTGGTGCTGATCCCTTCTCTCCCCCTTTCCTCCATGCCTGTGCTCTGTGCTCTGAGGGTTTGACTTGAGCCCAGGGACAGCCTTTGAAACCAGAAGAAGCTGTTCTTACATCAGAGGGGCTTGGAGCTTACCTGCACATTCCTGTTTAGGCTGACAGCAGGGAAGAAAAGGCCCTCCACATTCTCAAATGCTATGGGACCCTGCTGTTCATCGTTGATAAAAAATGTCAAGGTCTTTCTATTTAAGTCGAGGAGGACACCAATGGTGGCCCCTTTTGTGATTCCTCCCTCCGTTCTGTGGGAAAAGAAAGAAATGAGGTTTTACTTGCTTGTTATCATTCTAAAAGCTCCCCTTTTGTATGGTTAAGCCAATCTGTTGCCACCTGTTTAAATGTTTTGCCTCCTTCCCCCCAACTTTTTAAAGCAAGTTTTCCTGTAAGCACCTCCTTTCACATAAAATTTAAATATCACAGATATACTGTATACCTATCATTGTACAGTACATATATCTGTGCTGTATAAGGGGTAAGATCTTTTTGCCTTCCACCAACGTCCACTCCCTTGGGGGAGGAATCAGCTCCTGATGGGAGTATGTGAGTTGCTCTGCATTGCTGAGAGTGAACTTGTTCATCAGGGTCTCTACCATGAGCTGAAGCAGTATAAAACAAAACACTAAGGTCTGGAAAACAATAGTCTTTTGGCTGCCGGAGCTCAGATTCTGGCTATATTGCACACTTTGCATAAATGGTGGAAATTAAACATCATTAAATACAAAATGACTTAATTTGAAAGCCTAAATAAAGATGCAGTTAGGTTGAACCTAAAACATATGCATGGGAAGTTGAATTTGGGGCCTTCTGCTTCCCATTAAATAGTAAAACTCTTTCCAGAAAGATGAAATTTTTTTGGCATGCTGAATTTGAGTTACGAAGGTATAGGGTCTCTGAAAAATGACAACATCTAAGAATATTCTTCCATGCAAAGAGAGGTAATTATACTACAGGAAATGCAGTGATTTTATGGAACCTGCATATAAATGCCATTTTTACAAAGAATTGTGTCTTCGCTTCAATTAATGGTTTCACCAAATGCCATTAAACAGGGGTGATCAGATTTGTCTTCCCTTCCTTTTTGAAACCTAGCAATACTGAACTTCATCCTCATCTCAGCAGAGCACAGAAATTTAAAAACACAATTAATTTCCTCTTGCATGCACAATACAGACTGTACACAGCCATTAAAAGCCAGGTTTACAAGCTGCATCTCATTATTCACAGGTTTAACACAGACAGCACAAGTGACATGCAGTTTGCATGCAGGCACATGTGTTCAGAATGTGTTTCTCTGCATAGTGTGTTGGTTGTGTTCTTATTCAGTCCTTCACTTAAAAAAAAAAAAGATGCTAATCATGGTACAGAGGTAACAGCATCAGGAATCTAGTGTTAGAGTTCTCTTAAAGGTAAATCATTGAAGACAACTGCGTACATCCGTAGGATTTGATATCAAGTTGAAATGGTGTATGTGCTCACTTCAAGTGATAGTGAAAGATACACACCCAAATGGAGATATATGGAAAATATCCCAGGGAACAGGAGGCCCTAGGAATCTACTGTTTATAATACAAGGGCCAGGGATGCACATATAGGAAAAAGCTAAAACGGTAGAGACTGGTCATCCCACCACTGCCTGACCTGATTTTCCTTTGGTCTGACCAAATGCAACTGGATTTTTTTTTTTTTTTCAGAGACACCAATGCAAATGTATCTTGAGGAATCTTTAAGACTAAGGTGAACCAGTGTTCATGAAATACACTTCTCGCCTCAGAAATTTCTGATAAACTACATTTGAAGAGAACACAAACAAATGAAAAAAGAAACCCAGGGGTTTCTGGATTTCTAGTTATCTATATTTTGGTAATAGAGGAAAACCTTAAGGAGCTCACTACCTTCTCCTTCTTTAGCAACTGGGTGCTCTGAATTCATACAATAATAAGAGAGTCTTAGAACAAAGCTCCCCAAATTGGCATCAAGAAGATTTTGTACAATGCATTGCTTCTATTTGGAGTAGTATTGTTATAATAAGAACAATGGCTTTTAGTTTCTGGTGCCTGCACCGTTAGGCAATTTTTTATATCTCATTTAATCTTCAGATTAAATACTCCTGTATGGATTTTTTTTTTACTAACTTGGAGCATATGCAAACCCACATAGGGAAAAACAAATATTACTTTGTCTGGAAGCACTTTTCTGGTAAGTCATAGGCCTGGGTTTTAGAATCCTGCATTGTTTTTCTACAATGGATTTCCCTAGGGACTCTAGTTCCTAGTCCTGGGTGTAACATAGCAATAAAGGGCTAAGAAAAGTGCACATGTCTATTATTGTTATTATGCAAAAAAGGTCCACCTGCAAGATGGACACAGCTTAGAGTAATGGATCTCTTCTGTGACTTAATGAAAACTACCGTCCCTTTCTTAATGTCACCTATGTAACAGGTCTTTGGACCAGGGTTCTCATCAGTGACCAGAAGCCAACGTGAAGAAGGCTTGGTTTGGGGCTGCAGGGTACCTGTTGGTGTGCGAGTTGTTGTGCATGAACCAGCTCCGGTTATTGTCCACATACATTGCCCAAGCTTTGTCGTCCTTTCCTAACATCACATCCTTCATCACATCCATGCGAGCTACGCCAAAAGCAGGATCCGGGTGGTTGTCATAGCGATCTATCGTTAGCTCCCAATAGTGAACTCCCTTGGAGAAGCCAGTCTTCCCCAGGACCACCCGGTCATCATAGCTACTACAGGTCACTGTCAGGTTGTCATTGGAGAAGATGATGTCCGAGTGTGCAGAGCCAGGGTCGAAAGCAAACCAGGCCACTGAGAACAACAGAAAGGAATTGGGTTATTAAGGCAGATCCAACAGGCTGAAACACACCCCTGGGTGGGTGAGGAGCATCGTGTCAAGTTTTCATGCTGCCATGCAGGAAGGAGGTGTCCGGGGCCAGAGGGGCCATAAGTGAGCAGACAGGGGCACATCCTGGGAGTTGGTACTCTGCACCAGAAGCAGATGGAGGACACACGACCGATTCAGCAGGGGTTACCTGGCGCAGACTGCACTCCCAACTGGGTGATCCGGGAGTGAAGTAGCATCGAGTTTGGAAGGTGCAAGTCCCTTTCTCTGGTGACTGGCAGAACAGTGCACCAGAGACATAAAGGGAGAGGGGATGCACTAAGGTGCCTGTGTAACCCCTGAGGCGGGGAGGCTAGATCTAGAGTCCTGGATGGAGGAGGGATAAAACACACTGAATGAAATCAGGAAATAGCCCTTAGGCAGAAGTGCTAATGTCTAATTGTTTTGAAAATTTTCTTGGTTTTCCTGCCCGCTCAGAAGCTGTGAGGCTATAAGCAACATCAACTAATTTCCACGGATGATTGTGATTTGAATATAGGACAGGTTTCTTCCTTCCTAACTAGAAAATGTGCTACTCCTAAAACTAATATGTACTCTGTTCTGCTGGAGCAGTAGGCAGTTTGGACATTAAGCACAGATAGAAGGACGTCTTTGTATACATTGCTGTACCCCCAATTCTAAATGCTGCCTACAAATAACACACTACAGCGAGATGAAATTGCTGACTTATTGAACCTGTGAGCCACCTCACATGCATTTCAGTCTTTGCTACTGGTAATAGAACAAGGTCATTCCATACCTGCCAACAGCTTTTTAATGTCAACTGTTGTCATTCCAATGAAAGGCATGGGGGAGAAAAATAGGAAGCAAAATTGACATTGATAAGAAAACATGTCTCTTTTGATAGACTAATACCACAAAGGGATCCACTGAAAATGTTACAAATACTACAAACAGCTGGTCTGACTTGTAGCAGTACCCACATTTAATGCTCATAAAGGGTGCTTTGTACTGATGCATAAGAGAACTGGGGGGAAGTAAGCTTTGAGATATAACATTAAAAATACAGATTTTTTTTCCATTTTGCTAAGAATTTGAAAAACTCATAAAGGGGTGAGAAGACAATTAGACAATTTTATTGACATAAAATAAGCTGCTGCCATTTATTTTGTGAAGGAAATTGAGCACACCAGTCACATAAGTCAAAGATAACAATTACAATAGGTATACTTGCCTAATTGAGAGTAAGGTGCAGACTGTGTCTCAAAATTGCATCCTATAAAGAGATACTACACATCAAAGCTATGAAACAACAGCCAGGTTGATAAAAAATATTTGTACACATTTAAAAAGCACCGACTGCATGGAGTCACCAGAGGCCTGATTCATGAAAAAACAAAGCCCTTTTTGTGTTGGTTGTCTTTGCTGGGTAAAAATTGCTTCTCTGCTCTTTCAAATGAAAAGTACATCTTTTTACTCTTTAATAAAGTCTTCTCCAATTGATTCTAAATCCTGGAGCTTAAATTTTCATCATCTTTCAAGTTCAATCTTGTCCACTGAATTTTCATACTAAGAAGGTTGACTGAGAAAAATATGCCCAATCAAAATGGAGAAATTATTGGATCTTATCGAAGCTGTGCTCTCTTAGCATTATTGTGTGCATTTCTAACTCTGGATATGCCCCAAAGTCTTTCTTTTGACTTAGGCCCAAGTTCAATGATACGTCTATAACTAAATGTGTAATGTAATCCATATGTTAATGCATCTGATAAGTAATAATGGTGTGAACTGAATGTTTTAAAAACAAAAATCTGAAAATGTTACATATACTACAAACAGCTGGTCTGACTGGTAGCAATACCCACATTTAATGCTCTTTTTGTAGATTGTTTTGTTACATCGGTAGTTGTCCCTGAGGGAGAGGAGCAGGGACAGGGGAGTGGGAGTGATTTCAGACAGTGGAGTCACCTGGGGAATTTTTTCAACTGTCTGCTTCCCAAAGGTTTGCAAACCCCCACAACATGAGAAGTTGTGTGGAGACAGAGGAAGGCTGTTTAGTCTTAAAGTGTTCAAAGGTGTGTGACTTATAATTTCCAGTGGTGTTAGGGACTAATTTAGAAAATGTAGTCTTGATGAGCACCACAGGATAAAGGATCATGTAATTTTATTTTTCCAATTTAGTAAGGTCTTTACATGCCACTTTCTAAAACAACTAAAGGATAATTCACTGACTTACAAGAATTTACAACAATTAGAAAAGCAACTTACTGAAGAAAAGGCTGAATTAAAAAACAAAATGTAAAGATTATGACCTAAACTTTGGGTTAGCTAAACTTCACTCAGCCTGGTTTTTATGTTTGGTTTCCACTGACTGTCACTTCGATTCCTACTCCTGGGTTAGAGCACAGTGAGTGTGGAACATTCAGAGTTTTAAAATGGAATTTTATTTCCAGCTTTGGAAATAAATTTGTAGAATCTGACCAGGGCTTTACCGATTTTTAAATGAATCATGCCTTTTGCAAGTCATTTTTTGAAACGAACATTCTGAAATCTTTTTACACTACTTTAGACACATACATTCAAGATTCCACAATACAACTAGAACAATGCTGTTAAATACACCTGTCAAATATCCCCAAACCCACATTTCATTTTATTCTTGAGACAATATACATTACAAAGACTATAACAATATTTCATTACATTAGACACAAGTGAAGAGAGTTCCATAACAAAGCATGTCGGAAAGCCAGTAGTGCACAGAGAAACAATAAGAAACGCAAAAGCACAAAGAAAAACATCATTTTCAAGAGAGCTTGAAGTCCCTGCATCCTTTTTGCACTGTCATGCTGTGGCCTTCTTCATTCCAGGATGTGGGATGAGCCAAAAGGATAAAAATAAAAGCCAAAAGAAACCTTTGGAAATGTGAAATGTGCATCATGTGTATCCATGATTACAATATAGTCCTGAAGAGATCAAATAGGTCTGCATTTGTAGATATTTTAAGATTCTATTTGCTAGACGTAGCTCATTGCAAAGTAACACAAGTCTAGCTTCCCTGAAATCAACCATAAGCCCTGTGTCACAACCAGGGAAACTCCCCAGAGGCTGAACTTTTGAATTGCTTTGGGTCTTTGGGCATCGGGCATTAGGAGTTAAGGATTTCTAATTCAGCCAGTGGTGGTCCCTGCCCTTTGCTAGGAAAACAGCCATGAGCCCGCTGTCTTGCCAGTGAATACAGGCTTTTGCAGAAAATACTTTCACTCTCTGCTCTCTGGTTTGCCTGCTTTGTACGATGCATTCTGCTGTGGGCATGTTTTCACTTTTTATTTGATTTTGTCAATAAAGATCTCTTGAGTCTATGTTTAATCAGACCACTCCAGGCTGGATGCACTGATCCAGTCTCCCAGACACAGCTGGTTTCCTGGATACAGAAGGGCTGCAAACCTCCCAGCTACTATTGCGGCCTCCACTCAGCCAGCGCCTGTGCCGTGCTATGCCACTGCATGTGATGACAGCAAGTTATCCATGGTGCTACCAGCTTGTGCAAAAAGAACAACTTCACTCATCACTTTCCAATGCCATCACACACGGATCACAGCTCCATGGTTGGTCCTTTCGCCACACAAACAAGAACGCCACAAAGCTCCATCATCCAAATGATCCTCACACTGGAAGCAGGCCACAGACACAGAGACTAGCTCATCCCCCTCACCACGCACATGAATGGCAAGAACAAAACAGGTATTTCAGAGATGCCTTCAAGGCACAGAAATCAAGAGGAAAGGTCTGACAGCTCAGCTCACCCGATGTATTGAGAGACTGTAAAGAAGAATGCAAACTCAGCTGGTGGGGTGAGGATCGGAAATCAAAGTAGGATCTCCCGGGGAAGCTGGGTTGTAGATTAAGGGTGGAGGAGAAAGGACTCATTCTACGGAGCGGCAATCTTTCCGAAGGCACTGGAAAAGGGAGGGTCTGTTCTTCTGAGTCTGTGTCTAAATGTAAGATCAATGCAAACTAGAGATCAGAAATCTGCTCCCTGTGGTTCCCCAAGACCTGCCTTAACAATGCATTCATACAAGCCTCATCTGTCTTGCAGGGTGCCACATGCAGACATTAACAAAGCTGAGGTATCTGCAGGCTGGCAGGAAATTCTCAGCAAGTCAGGACCCAAGACCTAGACTCAAGGCCCTCTCACATCACTAACAATTATTTTCATTTCCCCCAATTTTTGGTGGTAGAAAAAGTCTTTTGGAAGGTTTCCTTTAAATTAAATATTTTTAGAGTTGAATTCAGAAACTTCAGAGGTCAATTTTACCCATTGTTGACCAAGAGGAGATTATTACCTTACCAGCTTCAGCTACCCCAACAGATTACTGGGTATTCAATAACAACCTCTTAAAGTGTTTCTAACTTAGGAGACAATAAGTTTTACAAACTGTTTCGTATTTCCCCCTTTCTCTGCTAATGTGTCTTTTTCCATTTCTGGATGGATGAGATGATTTCTATAATAGCACACTGAAGGCTTGAGCTTTGAATAGGAGAGGAAATGTGGGGTGACCTAAGAGAGGGCCCAACAAGTAACCTGGGAGGAGTCTTATCTTTGCTTCCGAATTCTATTCAGACCCTAGGAACATCAGTGACCTTCTCTGGTTCTCTAATTATAAATAGCCTATGGGCAGTGGGGAGGTGCATTGGTGTAAAGCGTCTCTGTTTCTTTTCAAATAGTCCTGTCTGGTATTGAAGATCATTATACCAGAGTAAGAACTTAATCAATTACTTGGTCTGACTTTAGATGGTTGTGAGTTAGCTTCTCTACTAAGTAAAAACGACTTCTTTCACTTGTCAAACAATAGCTATCTATGCAGTGATATGGTTTTGTCAAAAATGAATCATTCACCAATTGGAGCCTTCTTAACACTCAGTTTAATAGAAAAAATTCAGGACATGAAAGTTACACACTGTG